GAGAGAGAGAGAGAGAGAGAGAGAGAGAGAGAGAGAGAGAGAGAGAGAGAGAGAACGGTTCAATCACTACTCCGATTCTTCCTGAGCGTGGTGAGGAAGAACCGAAACTGATAGAAACGGCAGATCGGGCTGCGTAGCCGGCGTAGGAACGTTCAATTTCGGGTTCTCCTCGTTCGGGGAACAGGTGTTGCGTCAGTATCGCGGGTGTGGGTGTAGGTGAACGAACGAAAGGGTTAACGTTAAAGCCGTACAGTCCGCAGCAAGAGTTCGTTTAGGCATGAGGTAGTAGAAGGGCCGAAAACTTGGTGGAATTAAAGAGGGTAGCGAGGAGAGAGAAAGGCAAGGAGGTGGACGGATGGACTCGCGAAGACGGCAGAGGATTTTATTAAAATATGTTAAAACTGTAATTAAAATCGAAAAATCTCGTGAGAAGTTTTAAGAATCTTAGGTCACCCCTTTCGCGACGAGAAGAGAGCGCCAGGCTTCATGAGAGAGAGAGAGAGAGAGAGAGAGAGAGAGAGAGGGGAAGAGGCGGCCGGGCGAAGAGAGAATTGAAATTGTCATCGGGGGTTCTCAAGTTTCCGCGAGTTCAACCCTTTCCCCTCGTTCGACGTGACTGCGGATACTTGACGGGGTGACGTCGAGAGATCTCGGCGCTCGCTGGGCATCCCTGGACTCTTTAATCCCCGTGGGAGAGGGAGAGGCTGCCCGACGCGATTTTATTCCGCGCCTTTTTCCTCGCCTTTTTCTACTTTCGCCCGGACACGGTCGGCCGGCTGTTGTTCGTCACCGATTTGAATGAAATTGCTCCTGTTTTGCGGTACTCAAGGGGGGGAAATGTTGCGAACGCCGAGGTTCCGGTTTAATCGATGTACAAACGGTATACGCTGATACGAGCATTGGGAGGCGTTTGCGTCGATTTTGTAGTATATGAGAGGTATTAAAATATTATTGACATCTACGGAAATAATACATTGAATGTATTAACAGAAATAAGTGAATATATGGCAAAGATAATATACGTATTAATGTCTAATTTAATTTATATGTGAAGAAAAGTAATGTTAAAAATGTAAATTGAAAATAATACATTAAATATATATTAGAGATCAATACATTAATATCATTTCTTTCATTTATGTAAAAATAGAGTTGCAACCTGTTATTCGAGTATACATTTTTTTGTACATGCAGATTGCGTAATCTCAAATCAGCTTGTTCGATATTTTTAAGGTGTAATTTGCTTGCTAACACGGGTTTTCCCTTTCGAATTCCTTGTCCCTCGTAAACGGACTTTCACGATGATTAACCGGGAGCCGGGAGTGACAGAAGGGTTCGTGAAAAAACGGTTTGATGCTGAGGCAAAGTCGCGTCGCGAATTTTTAACGACTGTCTCAAGTGTCCCGCCGAGATTTTTCTTTAAACATCGTATATAAGACATTTCGCCGATCAAACGACTCTTTACCTTTGTGTTTATGAGATTTTAGAAATTCGAAATTTTTAAATAGTTTTATGATCAAATATAATTTTAATTCTGATTTGATTCACACTAAGTTTAATGTCGAGAGAGATATAACGATTATTGCTTTTTAACGAATCAAGGACTGCTGTTCGCGAAAATACTTTAAGCAGAAGTCGTTTAAATCCGGCGAATTTTGGGTCATTATCCTCATCAGCTGATCGCACGAACTATCAATCTGTATGTTATTGTTGAGAAGTATAGAAAGATTTGCGAGATCAATGATAGAAACAACTTAGAGTGTACAAACGAAGCTGCGATCCTGCAAAACTCAATTAATACTGTCGCAGACAGTAAAGAATACTTTATAGACAATTATTGTGTTTTTTCATGCACTCATGTATAGATTGCGTAGTGACTCATAGAGATAAAACGTATACATTGAATGTTTATACGATTCTTCAATTTCAAATGTATTATTATAAATTAAATTATAAAAAACTGTAGAGAAACGGTGCTATTATTTTTTTATCGGTTCTCGAAAGTAATGAGACAATCATAAGCTTTCGACAGCATCGATGCACGAACAATGTCGACTATTATTCTCGGTGAGAATTTTTCGTCAGAGGACGCCGCGCCTTTCTTAAATTTCAAAACTACGCGATCATTAATCAAATTTTTATCTCCTGGCAGACGGAAAATTGCGTCCCGGCGCCCGGCCATACTGGCGGTTTGAATCTTTTTTTCTGATTTATTACCGTCGCCAACCGCGGGAAAAAACGAGAAGGAGAGAAAGAAAGAAGTCGCGGTTGCGTCGGGGCCCGTAAAGAGAAATGGAAAGAGGAAGAAGAAAACGGAAAGAAGAGAGTTGGCCCGCGGGCCGCCGGCTTAATGTCCTTAATAATGGAAAAATATATCAAATGACACCCACTGTATTTCCTTAGGAGCGTCTCTCGTTCCGATTACCTACGCCTCCCGCCCGTTCACCGTCCTTTTACCCTTTGCGATATTCATATTTTTGCGTCTGTCTCCCTCATCTACCATTTTTTATTAACTCTCGGATTACTTATTAAACCCTATCCGCATTCTTTCCCTAGTGCAGCGAAATCTGACAAAGAAAGATCGTGACTATTTTCAATCTACGTGATTTATTAACGCGTGATAGGAGACTGTTTCGCCTCTTATTTCATGTTCTATTTTATTTTGACGAGTTGACATAGTTCATCTTTGACATAGTTGATTTTCGCATGAAAAATGCACGACCCCGTTTTTCTCTGCTATTCGAATCGCGACGGATGGGTTTGTCGGCCTCACGCCGGCAGGTCTCTCCTCCTGATGCTGATGCTCGAAGGGATCGTTAGCATTTCAGGAGGAGAGAGAGAGAGCCGGCGTGCAACCCTTTCTTTCTTTCTTTCTTTTTTTTTCTTCCTTCCCTCTCCCCTTTTATCATGAGTTACGTTCGTGAGTAACGTCGGGCCACTCGAAGTGGGCTACTTTATACACTTGGAAATACAAAGCGAAGGTCTCACCTGCTGACCATATGCCTTCTCTCCACGCGTGTGTACACGTACGTGCACACGCACACGCAATGCCCTCCGTCCACCCACGCACGCTGGCCGTGCAGCAGCGGCTCACATATGGTATGTCGTTGTTCATGTACGCACGTATGTATGTGTGTGTGTGTGTGGGTATAGTATGCACATACGTGAGCGCATACGTGTACGGAGACAACGTCCAATCTAACCTAGCATGACCTGACTCATTCGCGAACCCACCTACCCACCTATCTATCTAAACTACCGCCGCGGATAGTGTGCACTGTTGTGTAATATAAAGGAAAAGGGGGAGAGCACCACCACCCTCTCCCTCTCGCCCCGCGGCTCCTTGTAATTGTCAGCTTTAATCCGCCTGAATCGTTGCACGTTGATCCTCCGCGAGGTATGTCCGTTTCCGGTCGTCGGCACGGACAATCGTTCGCCGATCAGCTGCTTAAACAGGAAAGGAAGACTTGGCGATTTGATTTCCGCGGAACCGATTTCTGCGGTCTGTCCTGTCTCGGTACCTCCCTACTTCTTGCATCTGTCTAATTTTAGAGTCGAATATAGATAGATCCTTCAATCTCTCTA